CACTGCACAAAGCCTGGCTCTGTCCTCCTCACACTGCCCTGAACGTGTTTGTGCCCATGGATGAGGTGGCCCCTCAGTCTCCTCTTCTCCAAGCCCAACAGACCCAGCTCCCTCAGCAGGGAGATGTTCCCCTCCCTCCAGCATCTCTGTGGCTCTGCCCTGGGCTCTTTCCAGCAGTTCCCTGTCCTTCTGGAACTGAGGGGCCCAGAACTGGACACAACACTCTAGATGTGGCCTCACCAAGGCAGAACAGAGGAGGAGGAGAACCTCTCTTGACCTACCAACCACCCCCTTTCTAACGCACCCCAGACACCATTGGCCTTCTTGGCACATTCCTGGCTCATCCTCCTGCCCACCAGGATGGTAGCCTCCCATGTCTCCATCTCAGCTGTTTTTTGAGCCATTACCGACCAGTTCTACAAGTACCCAGCAGTTCCTTCACGAGGGAAACTCTTCCCAATCTAATCAACCCAGAGCACAGCCCCGTTATCGCAGCGCGCGACGCTGAACACGCAGCCCAGGTTCTTGTGTGTGCCTAGAAACTGGGTGTGGGAGCAAACAGCACATCTGCAAACAAGTCTCAGTGCTAAAGGGGGGTGGGACCACTTCATATAAGCCACATAAAAAGCAGAACTCTTGGCATAGGGTTTGGCCTCGTGTTCATACAGCATTTGATGGGACCTGCAACGGCAAGAAGAAAGGAGCCCCGTCAACAGAAGGGCTATAAAAGCAGGGCTGTGCACCAAAAAAAGGAGTTAAAAAGCAATCCTCATGATAAATGCAATGCTACATCTACCCACAAATCATATATGGTTTGGGTTGGAAGGGACCTTCCAAGACCATCCAGCTCCAACCCCCTGCACGGGCAGGGACACCTCCCACCAGCCCAGGTTGCTGGTATAAACACATCTCTTCACATTTCAAATCCTTTATTTTTCCAATAGAACAATGAAAGAAAGATACAGCACTATAATCTAAAATCAGTTCCCAAGCAAGAGATTCACTGCAGCAAACGTGGTCTTCTAGAGCATTTCCATGAAACTACTGCAAGCAGGTTGAATGGAAAGCAAAAATAATGTCAAGTCTCTGAAACACAAAGATTTGGTTCATCAAGCGTGTTTTAACAATCAGAAAAGTGCATAGCGATAATAATCCCTTCCTTCATGCATCAGGCAGGTCAGTGAAACAGAATTACTTCTCACTGAAGTGTAAAATCAGTGTCTCTTTAGTTTCCTTTACCTGCAGCCTCTGAGAAGACTGTTCCTCCATCAGTTGTGCTCTGCACAGTCCAGAAACCAAGAGGGAATGTCTCCAAGGACTCACCCAAGAGTGCCCAGGGGCTCCCAGAAGACTGGAGCAAGATTCCTACATTTGGGCAATTCCAGCATCTTGTGATGCTGTCATTAGAGCAGCTGGGTGGGTAGAATTTCTCTCTGTCCTATGAACAAAACTGAATCAAGAGCATTTTGCACAGAATTCATTGCCAGATTAACATGATCAGCAACTGATGATGTCTCAGTTTAACTTGCCTGAGTTGCCTTTGCCTGCAGAATCAGCCCATCAAAATAACCAGGAACCTAAAACCTTCTGAACTTCAGGATTTTTTGTGCACATAGTTGCAGCATTTTAAAGGTGTATTTCAGTCTCTGGCACCCAGGTACCTGTGCAAACCAACACATGGGAAGTACCATGTCACAGAGAAACCTTCCCTCAAAGAAATCACACTTGAAATGAGTTGAGAACTATAATTTTTTTCAAATATTTCTGATTTCTTGATCCTTCCTTAATAGTATTTCAATAAAACCAGGGAGCTTGAATGCTGAAGTACTTTGGTCCCTAAAATGTCCTCTGACATTTTCTAGAAGCCTCCAGGGTAACTGAAGCTGCTACTTGTTCCAGTAAATTCTGCTCAATGTCCACCCACCATCACAAGGTCCCCAAGACCTTCTGCAACTATTGCTTTTAGGGAATTTAGTACATTTCCAAACAGATGGATGTTTTCTCAGTGAAACTACATTGACTTGGTAAGATATATTGTTCTCTTAGGTAAGGATTTATTTTCTCTCTACTTCTTGATCTCAAGCAAGGTTTGGTGCACTGCTTTGCATCCCAGCAGGTGATGTCCTGCACCCCTGGCCAGACTCAGGCAGTTCCTTTCTTTTCACCTGACTTTTACATTCTTTTTTGCTTAACTCTTCACAACAGAATAGGATGATTGACCTATTATTGGAAAAAAAGCTCAGTGAAGTGCCTCATTTAGGCAGCTTTGTGACACAGGTGGCTCTTGTGGAGTGTTTCACTGCAAGTAAGAACAGAAACACCATCCCAGAAGGCACAAGCAGGAGGATTTAACAAACAAGGCCTCCCTGCTTTATCTGAGGGTTTAAATCCAGAGCTAGGATCCAAGTTCAGCCACATTTACTATCCAGTTTATTTTCCATGTTGATGCACTTCCTTGCATAGCAATATCCTAAATAACTCACACTAATTATGTACACTTAATAAATTGCCTATGTTGACAAATTAAAGGAGCCCCAGTACAGCTCTTTCTCTATATTATTTTTCCAGTCATGTTCACAGCTGCTAGAAGTGAATATTACTCCAAAACCCTGGCGTGCTTAACAGAATTCCAACATTTCCTTCAAAGTTCCCAGTTTCCAGGTTTAGAACATGAACTTTGATGCTAAGGGTTGAAGAGGAATTGGTTATTTGGGGTGAGGTGGGGAGGGATTGGTTTGAAAAACCCAATCCCCACAGCAGAGCTGACACCCAACTCTTCCCAGGTGAAATTCTGAGGGATGAAGAACAAGATTCATTGCAACAATGTGGGTGAAATATCCAAAGATCAGGAGAATCAAAACAATCAGAAACTAGCATGGCCTCATTCCTTCAATTCTGCTTCCCAATCCCTGTCTTTTCTACTACACAATCCACAGGAGAGTGTCTGTGAAAAGATACAGGAGTGCACAGTTACTCTTGTCAGCTTTTTATTGTCCGAATTGCACCACATCTGCACACTCAGAAGAACAGAACCAGGTTTTGGTATCACCAAGGGCAGGTACTTCACCAGCCTTGGGCAAAGATCTCTCTGTGATCCACTGATCAGAGGGGGACCACATTCCAAGGATCATGCAAGAGCCGATTGAACAGCAATAGCAAATTCACCTCCTAACATACTAGCTCATTAAGAGAACAATTAACAGGTAAACTCTTCCAGGGAGTTTTCTGTGATTCGACTCATTATGGAAGCCTGGAGAAGAGAAGGCTCCAGGGAGACCTTAGAGCAGCTTCCAGAGCCTGAAGGGGCTCCAGGAAAGCTGGGGAGGGGCTTGGGACAAGGGCAGGGAGGGATGGGATGAGGATGAATCAAAACTGCAAGAGGGGAGATTGAGGTGAGACATGAGGAGGAAATTCTTTGGTGTGAGGGTGGTGAGACCCTGGCCCAGGTTGCCCAGGGAAGCTGTGGCTGCCCCATCCCTGGAAGTGTTGAAGGGCAGGTTGGATGTGGCTTGGAACAGTCTGGGCTGGTGGGAGGTGTTCCTGCCCTTGTAGGGGGTTGGAACTGGATGATCTTTATGGTTCCTTCCAACACAAGCCAGTCTGGGATTCTATACAGTACTGGTTGTAGCAACAACCAATATCCAGCTGCCAACACTGCAGATAATTTTCCAGCTTAAAGGGCTGCATATACAAAAAGAAACACCTTTTCAGGCAGTCATTCCTTAGGCAGGACTTCTGGGAACTGGGAAAGAGCAACCCAAGATGACTGGAATGGTTTTGATCTGAATTTCAAGAGAAATTGGTTTGGCAGAGAAGACAAATTTGATTCCCTCCTCAGCACAGGGACACCTCAGATGCTTCCCAACCACAGTGCCACGCTGGGATGCACCAGATGCACCTTCCATAGAGGAGGAAACTTCAGAATTGCTGAGGCCATATTCTTATCAATGCATCAGGAGTTTTATCACCCTCTTCTGCCTGTCTACAGGTTTTCAAAGATCTTGTTACCACTCAAAATATTTCTAGCTCAGAAGCCTACAAACAATTCTACGAAGCAACTTCTTCATAAATCAAATCCTGCTTTATTATAATCCTAATTCCACAAGCACTTTAAAGAGATTTTACTTGGGTTTTTAGGTGTTGTTTTTTTTCTCCTTAAACTGATCTGCACCATTTTAAAGCAAAAGAAAAATAGAAAGCAACAATGATGGTCCTGCTGCTCCTCTGGAGGAGAGGGAAAAGATATTAGGGAAAAAACAAGATTACATCTCAAATCCAGACTCTGCTTTTAATAATTTTGACCACAGCATTAAGATCGATGGATTTGACATGAAAATACAAAGAATAAATCTCTCTTTTTCATAATTGAACCAGGATGTTGATCTTGCCACAGTGCAATTCATGGTTCTTCAGCCAGGTCAACAACAGCAACAGGTTTTAAGGTGCAAGCCTTGAGTGCTGCACTAGCAGTTAGTGATGCTAAAATACATTTACCTCCCTGTTTATTCTTAAATTATTGAACCTAATTCCTAATCACACCAAACAGATTCCTGGATGGGAAGTAATTCCAGTGGGGAAAAGGAATAAATGAACAACTGTGCTGGCTGCCATTTGAGTGGCTCAAGTGACCTTTTTTCTCCTGTTAGGGACGAGGGGTTTGATTCAGCTAAAATGTGCAAAGAAAAAGAAAGTCTCCCAAGTGAGAGAAGTATCACCAGTTCATGGCAGACACCAGGGGAATCCTTAGGGATTGATTCCTTTAATCCATTTTCTTGTCGGAAGCCTCCGTGGATCTCCCAGCAATGATTCCATTGGCCACACCATTGCTTTCAAACTGGAAAGAAAAGACACCACGATTAATGGGATGGCAAGGAAAAAAGACCCAACCCCAGAAGAAGTGGTGAAGGGAATGACTTTTGGAAGCAAAGCCTGTGGAGGAACCTGCAGGAAGAACCCAAGTGGTGGTGCCTCTAATTCCAGCTCTGGGAGGGAGGAATGAAGGCAGAACCAACATGGACATCTTGGCTTTGTTTTCTGAAGAGAAGAGCAGCAGATGCATGATCTGCAGAGCTAGAAGGTTGTCACCCCATCATGAGTGGCAGAGCTTTGAGCCACCTGCTGTGCTGTGCCCCTTGCTGGGCTTCTTCCTTCTCTGGAAGAACAGCCACTCAGGGCCAGACAATCAGAAATTCACTCCAATGTTCCCACGATTGGGTGCAGCTCCTGTTCCTCCCAGCCCTACCAGAAGCTGTCTTGAAGCCACTACTTTGACCTGGCCCAGAATAACTCCCTTTCCTAAGGTACCACCCACAAAAAGGTCTGTACAACACCCAATTTTTCACTCTCGTGTGGTGCCCTCCCCAAGTGTCCACTGGGCAATTTATCCAAGACTTTTCCCTCATGAATTAAATCTATAATTTATCTTACTCTGTAAATTCCCAACTCATCCTCCTGATCTCTTTTGGTGCCTGCAGGTGCCCGTGGATTTCCAGTGCTGGCTCCTTGGCCTCCTCCTGTGGTTGTTCTTTCTTCCACAGCTTTCTTGGGCCAAACCCGCTTGATGAAGGGCGCGATGACGGGGTAGATGTAGGGCTCCAGGAACTTCTTGTACACCCAGAGGAGAACAGGGATGACAATACAGGGAATGCACACCATGGCTTCCTCTTCTTCTGTGGCAAAGCTGGAGAGGGAGAAAAAAAAAGCCTACGACTCAGGATGACATTGTTTGGAAACCATGAGAAAAGAAAAGTGTCTGCAATAATCAGTAAGGAAGCCGTGGGAGCCCCATCCCTGGAAGTGCTGAAGGGCAGGTTGGCCTTCTCCAGGCTGAACACCCCAACTCTCCCAGCCTGGCTCCAGAGCAGAGCTGCTCCAGCCCTCCCAGCATCT